TTGCCGCAGTAACAGAACCTCCGCTGTGTGTGTCAGGTGTGTTACCGCGTCCTGATGCAGCTGTGCGGTCAGTACGGCCAGCCGGTCCTCGCCGTCAGAGTCCTGCTGGAGATGAAGAAGGCCGGGATCACACCCAACACCATCACCTACGGCTACTACAACAAGGTCACACAGACACACGTTGCTGTGTTTGGACAGCCGAAGCCCAACCGGGCTCCAGGCCCACAAGGTCTTACAAACAAACGCACCGTAAAGTTCATGGCTGTTTTCCCTCCTCAGGCTGTGTTGGAGTGTAAGTGGCCCTCGACCAATCAGGGCGGCCGTCTCCGATGGGCTAAGCTGCGGAACGTTCTATTGGCCGTGGCTCAGTTCAGGCAGCCAATCAAACGGCGGCGGAAGAGCGGTTCTGTGGGCTCCAGAGGTCAGATGTCTGTAGTTTGTCCTGCAAGATAAACACCTCACCACTCTAAGCGATGAAGGTGATGAAGATCATCTCCGTTTCCATCCCAGGAGCCATGATGGAGGCCGATCAGAAGCCCCTCCCACAGTCCACTCTGATTCGTCAGTCCAGCTGGAGCGGCCTTAGCGAAAGCTCGAGTCACGAGTCTCTGACCGGGTCGCTGGTGAAGAGCTCCAGCCTGAGCAGCATGAAGACGCCCACAGTCAGTGGTGAGCACTGCTAGCAAAGAGCTAGCTCAGCTAACACTGAGTTGCTAATTATGACCATTTAGCTACTAAAAATGAGCTTAGCAATAACACCAAGCTAAGAATGAGCTCCACTATTAGCTCGTTAGCAGATCAGCAAATGTTCCCACAGGTCAGAGCTCACCTGATGCCCTGTCTGCCTTCAGAGCTCAAAGCCTGTGGGAAGTCCCCCGTCCTCCACGGTTCAGGGACAAACGGGGACACGGTCCACCGGAAGCCCCGCTGGGACGGAGAGAAGCCTCCGCTCCGCCTCCAGCGCCCCCTGGGGGAATCGTGGTGCGGCGCAGCGAGGTCTGCCTCTCCTCCTTCTACACCGAGTCGGAGCTGGACTGCAGATGTGAACCGAGGCTCAGCAGGTCGGTGTGTTCGTTCTGCCGGGTTTTCCGAGTTTATTCCAACCGATCTGACAGGATTTACGTTCTGACTGCAGACCCGACAGATCCGGGAGCGGCGGCGGAAAGAACAAGGCCAGAACTGTAGACGAAAACTCCAACCACGTGTCGTCCCCGAGCCGAGGAGGCCTGGCAGGGAAACTGCAGCAGCTCCTTACACCGACCAAACACCGAGCGTCGGTCCGGCGCGCCGCCAGCGTGGAAAACCGCCGGTCCGGAGGAGGGATCGGTCGGAAAGTGTCAGATCAGAGGCAGTCCAGGAAGTCCCAGGTGGCTGAAAGTCTGCTGAAGGCAAAGGAGCGGCTGGTGAACGCCACGTCAGAGGTGACTGCATGTTCCTGCTAAAGGCGATGAGCTGCAGATCCAGCAGCCTCCACCAGGGGCTGCTGTCCAGATCTTGTTGAGATGTTTCCCTGTAGTTCTGGATGTCTAGGCCGCTCTTGTCGTCTGGAATAACCAGTAATCTGTCCTCAGAGTTCGCTGTCGGTAGGAAGTGACCTGGACCTGACGGACACGCCCACCGCCGTGTATCCTCTGCGCAAGTCGTGGGACGCCAACCAGGACGGGGCGGGAATCGAGGTAACTCGGTCGGTGAGGTCGGTGAGGCGGCTTGGTCCCGGCGGAGCCTCACAGTGTGTTTGTGTCCAGGTTCTGATGTCCAGCTGCTCGCTGTGCCGCAGCTGCAACTCTCTGGTTTACGACGAGGAGATCATGGCGGGCTGGACCTCAGACGACTCCAACCTGAACTCCTCCTGCCCGTTCTGCGCCGCCTCCTTCGTCCCGTTCCTGAATGCAGAGATCTGCGACCCGGGGCCGGTCGGCAGGTACAGAACCTGCCGACCGGACGCTCATGCGCTCCTGGTTCTGTCGCGTCACCGGTTCTGCTCTTGCTCCTTCTTAGCGCGGAGCGCTGCTCCATGAACCTGGAGGATGAGGTGGAGAGCGCCGTGAGGCCCCCTAGTGGTCACCAGGCGTCCCTGCGGCCCCAGTGCAACGGGCTGAGCGACGACTCCAGCTCTGAAACCAGCACCTACTCCGAGACCAGCAAGGCCACCACGGTAACTCCCCTCGCCGCTGCCCCCGCTGTGGCGCTCCTCACTGCTGACAGGCTCCACCCTCTTTCCAGGTGTCGTCGGTGGGAGGGACTCCTCAGGTGACGGTGGCCTACCTGAGCCCTCTGGTTCTGAGGAAGGAACTGGAGAGTCTGCTGGAGAACGAGGGCGAGTCGGTTCTGGCCCAGCCTCAGTTTCTGGACAGCCACTCCATCATCTACTGGAACCTGGTCTGGTACTTCCAGCGGCTCGGCCTGCCCAGCAACCTGCTGCAGCTGGTCCGGAGCTCGCCACTGGTCAGCCACTTCACTCAGGTGACTCTGAAGAACTAGTTCATGTTGGGAGACTCAAATACTGTGAACTTGAACTCATTCGCTTTAGAAGGTTCTGCTGTCTGAACACAGAACCTTGATCCAGGTTTCTAATGACACCAGCTGTAGGCACCCGTAGTTTCCTGAAGGGCTAAAGTTCACATGAATATAAAGTTTTTTTGGGGGCCTCCAGCAGGGGGCCTCCAGCAGGGGGCCTCCAGCAGGGGCCCCCTCTGGCGTTGATAACAGCCTGTCTTGGTTGTTCCAGTCGGAGAACTATGCGGTGAGGGTCCGGCTCCTCTGGGACACGCTGAGCCCCGACACGGACCAGTGGCCGCCGCTCTACGTCCTCTGGAGGATCCACAGTAAGGACGACCGGCGGACAGGTCCAACACGAGACGCAGCGTACGCGTCGAGCTTTAACGTGTTCCTCCACCAGGTGGCGCCCCGATGAGGAGCTACAGCTGGAGGCGGCACAACCACCCGTTCACCCTGTCCTTCCTGGAGGAGGTTCTGCGCTGGGTGGGCATGAACGAGGTGCACAAGGCCATCACGCTCTTCCTGGACACCCTGGAGAAGCAGCCCGGGTCGCCACAGACCCAGAGGTGGGGGTTCGGACCGGCCCGCCAGTTCTGATGATTCATGCTGAGCCTGAACTCAGATGTTTGTGTTTTCCGGACTGACAGGAGCCTCTACCGGGAGATGCTGTTCCTGACGCTGGCAGCGATGGGAAAAGACCATGTCGGTAAGGCTCCTGGTTGACCTGGGTCGGGTTTCCGATCAGAACCAGGAAGGTTCTGGAAGTTCTGCTGTGCAATCCTCTCCCATCTCTGTCTGCAGCTGCATTCGATAAGAAGTACAAGACGGCGTTCCTGCGTCTCAGCAGCTCTCTGGGCCGAGACGAGCTCCGCAGGAAGCGGGCCCAGCCTCCCAGCACCAAAGCCATCGACTGCAGGCGCAGCTTCCACCCGCCGCTGGAGTGCTGAGCGCTTCCGGACCGGACCGGACCGGACCACCGGCAACCAACACCCCCTTCACCTCTCCGCCACCCCCTGGTGGAGGGCACAGCATCAGACTTCCTACCAACCTCTATGGATCCCGAAGTAACCAGCACAACCGGACCGGACCAGACAGGATCGGATCGGACCGGACTGCGGATCTGCGCTGTAGTCAGAGGAAGGCGCATAGTCATCAGCGGGAACCCAGAACCGAACCGGAGATTCCCGGGGAATCCGCTTCCTGAACTGGATCGTTGTGGACGAGACATTTATTGTTGAACTGTGAAAAATGGTTCTGACCCGTTTCAACTCCTCAGGACCGGTTCTATTGATCAGCGACACATCCAGGCTTCTGCTTTCCAACCAGCTGGGACTCGATCCAAAGTCCGGTCAGGGTCAAATGTCAGGATGGATCAGAACCACTTGGGATGAGAGGCAGAACGATTCAGCAGAAAAATGAAAAAAATCTGACCAGAACCAGGCCACGGTAGGGCCAGAACCCGACCAGAACCCGACCAGAACCCAGCAAGTTTCTGAGTTTCTGTCAATCCTTTCTCAGCTGGAAAACAATCAAATTTCTAGAACCAAATTTTGACATCAGAGCCAAAAATTCAGCCAGAAATTTGAAATCAGAGCCTCAGACGGAGCACGCTCAGTGGGCGGAGCCCGGAGCACGCTCAGTGGGGCGGAGCCTCAGACGGAGCACGCTCAGTGGGCGGAGCCTCAGACGGAGCACGCTCAGTGGGCGGAGCCTCAGACGGAGCACGCTCAGTGGGCGGAGCCTCAGACTGAGCACGCTCAGTGGGCGGAGCCTCAATGAGAAAGATATTTTAAGTTGATTTGGTTGGTTGTTTTTGGTTCTGGTTGGTTCTGGTTGGATCTGGTTGGTTCTGGTTGGATCTGGTTGGTTCTGGTTGGTTCTGGTTGGTTCTGGTTGGTTCTGGTTGGATCTGGTTGGTTCTGGTTGGTTCTGGTTGGATCTGGTTGGTTCTGGTTGGATCTGGTTGGATCTGGTTGGTTCTGGTTGGTTCTGGTTGGATCTGGTTGGTTCTGGTTGGATCTGGTTGGATCTGGTTGGTTCTGGTTGGTTCTGGTTGGATCTGGTTGGTTCTGGTTGGTTCTGGTTGGTTCTGGTTGGATCTGGTTGGTTCTGGTTGGATCTGGTTGGTTCTGGTTGGTTCTGGTTGGTTCTGGTTGGATCTGGTTGGTTCAGACCTTCAGAGTTCTGCCTCCTGTCTCAATTCTGGTTCTGCTCATTCACTCTGACTGACGTGCTGAAGGCCAGAGCTCAGGACTGGACCCTTCCTCACAATTCTGACCCGGTTCTGACCCGGAGATGATTATTTAAATTTGCTGTTTATCTAATTTATATCTGATTGTGGTTACCATGGCAATGTTCCTTTTTTTAACAAAATCGTCAATAAAAAGACGTCAAAAAAAACCTGGTGTTGTTTCTGTTCACCCACACTGATGATGGTTCTGGTTCTGGTTCTGGTTCCACATCCCTATGAGGATTATAGGGATGTTTTATTTTGTAGGAACGGACCGGAAGTGGGACAAGTGATTCTGCCTCGGGATGACTCGTGTCTTTTCGGGATGCGCTGAGTGGTTCTGGTTCTGGACAAGCAGCGGGCTGGGTCACGGAGAACCGGGAGGAGAGTCTTCCTCCTCCTCTTCCTCCTCCAGGTGGGTCAGCTCTCCGTCACGCGCTGCGGATCTCCGACAGGCAGGTTGGATGTTTGGTTGGATGTCTGGTTGTTGGCAGAATCAGCTGGTTCCGATCCAAAATCCTCATTTTCTGACTGTTTTGTGACTGAAGGTAATAAAAGGTTTAATTCTCCCGATATGTTTTTATTTCACAGCAGATGAAATAAAAACCGTTTCTACTTCCGAACCGAACCCATAAATCCGGTTTCATCTTCTGTTGCTCTTTATTGGAAACGTTGATCAATATTGATCCTTTATTTGTCGTTGCTGATTGATTAACCCTGTTTTGTGCGGCTTAAGGTGATAAACGCTTGATTTTAATTCCAGCTCCTGCCGCTGTGCTGAAGCGGGGCGGGGCTAAAGGTGCAGAGACACAAGATCTGACCGGAAATGCTGAAACTGCATTTCCGGTCAGATCAGGTAAAGTCACGTTTCTGCTGCTGAATGTTTTTGTATTTGGTTCGTTATGGCGGCGTCTGGATTTCAAAAGGTTGGAGGTATTGATTTGTTATTGAAATGTGATTTTGAATGATCTAAACTCTCTAGATCGGTTTCAGCTTCTGTTGCTCTTTATTGGAAACGTTGATCAATATTGATCAACGTTTCCGCTGCTCCCCGGCGGCGGTCAGCAGCGGCATCGTGCGTTTTGTTACAGTGGAAGTTAAAAGCCCACAATGTCCCATAATGTCCCACAATGTCCCATAATGTCCCACAATGTCCTATAGTGTCCCATAGTGTCCCACTGTGGAGCCGCTCTATGTGCCACAACATCTTTATTCCTGGACGATTGGTGGAATAAACTCATCTGGCCAATTCCTCCTTTACTGGATGGAAATGCTGATATTCTCAGTTTGGAGGATTTAATAGGAATATGGAACTGATTGTTCCCTGATGAATCATAAGAAGGTTTCATGCAGGATCCCTCATGTCCTCATCTCATGTCCTCATCCTGTCCGGTTTTTAAAAGAATTTAAACACAGTTCAATAGTTTGACTTCATTTCAGTTATTAGCCCCTCAAATTAATTTAACTTATTTATTGGTTACTAGCTGTGATTTGTAACAGCAGGAGTCATATTTAGTTTTGTAATATTTGTTCTCGACCAGACCTTCCAGCTGGATCACACAGCGCCACCATGTGGAGGAAAACGGTTCTACTGCTGCTTCACATCATGGAAGGTAAAAACTTTCAGAAATTGTTTGAGGATTTTTACTGGTTTAGTTTCTCATCGCTGATCTTCCAGATTTTTTCAGCATGGTTCTGACCCGGTAAAACATTCAGAACTTTATGGATTGAACAAGTTTCTCCATTTCCTGTTTTCTGACCAATCAGAGAGCAGATGGACACGCTCATTCACTTCCTCTTAGTTTGGTTCTGACTGGTTCTGGAGAACTTGGACCAAAGACTGTGTTGAACCTATCAGAACAAGGTTTGGACCCAGAAGGTTCTGCTGCTCATGATAGAAGAAAGTTGTAGATTTCAGGCAGAACCTTCAAAATAAAAGCATCTCTGAAACCTTTCAAACTGATTTCTTGTTTCAGGCTCAGCAACATGAAATCAGAATCCGTTCTTAGCTGGTCGGTGATGAACGGAACCGGTCCAGTCCTTCACTTCCTCTGCTTCGTGTTGCAGCTGCAGTGTCGCCGCCCTGCTGGCAGGGGGCGCCCTTCCCGGAGGCCGTGGTGTCCCCGGCGGCGGTGAGCAGCGGCATCGTGCGCGTCTCGGCCGCGGCGTCGCTCCAGCAGTGCGTGGCGGCGTGCTGTCACCTCCCGGCCTGCGACCTGGCCTGGCGCTTCCAGGGCCGCTGCTATGTGCTGAGCTGCCAGCAGGGGGCGGACTGCCGGCCCCGGGTCCGGCCCGGCGCCGACTCGGTTCTGGCCTTCCTGCAGCGTCCGGCCCGCTCCCTGCTGCGGTCCCTGCGAAGGCCGGCGCGGTTCGGCCGGACGCGGGGGCCCGGCGGCGACCAAGAGGCCCTCAAGGGCCCGGTTCTGTTCGACGGGCCCAAGCCAACCTGGTCCGACCCGGCGGCCCCGGAGGCGGATTGGTTCTGGTCTGAGTTCAACCAATCACAGGAGGCGGATCCTGGAGGGGCGGAGTCAGACAGCAACCTGACCGGAACCGGTACCGCGGATCAGGAGGAGCCGCGGTACCGATGGACCAGAACCACAGAACCAGCTGGTGCAGCTGCTGCAGCGCGAACGGTGAGTGAAGACCAATCCGGGTCAGAACCATCAGAACCAGCTCTGCTGGGTCTACAGAACTTGTAGAACCTCCTGCTCCTCTTCCTCTCTAGACAGGAAGTCAGACAGCAGAGCTTCCTGCGCCTGACTCCGCCCCTACGGGTCACATGATCACACCCGGTGACGTCATCAACACCACGGTGAACCCAGGTAGGCGACTCTGATCCGGGTCTGAACCGGACTGGCTTCTGACCTCTGATTGGACGATAAGATCAATGATGTGACATCATTCACTTCTAGAACCTGTTCTTTCCTTTGATTGGCTGTTGCCATGGTAACCGGTGTTATTTTGGGTCATCTGGGTCAGAACCAGCTGCAGAAATGCTTCATGTTGGGTCTGATCTGGACCGGCTACCTCCAGGTTGTCCCGTTGGGGACCCAGTGGACCTGGTGGACCCGGTGGACCTTGGCGCCGCCGTGACATCAGAACTAATTGATTCTTCTGAACCCGGGAACGGAACTTCAGGTCTGATCCTTGGTTCTGTAGAGGGTTCTGGTTCTGGATGGAAGCTTACTGCTGGAGTTGTTTTTGTTCTGACAGAACCTCTGAAGGTTCTCCAGGCTCCAACCACTGACCCGCTGAACCAGGTGACCTCTGACCTCACTACCTCAGCTGCTCTCCCCCAGACCACTGCAGGTATGTTAACCTGGTTCTGGTTCCTGTTGGTCCGGTTCTGCCAGGCTCTGGTTCTGACTCTGAACTGATTACTGATTTTTATTTATGAATTAGCATAAAATTTCCTTCAGAAGTTGCTTTTTTGTTTTTGGGAAACAAAAACACAAAGATGGAACCATCGACTCATTAGCATCGCACATGTTAGCCGCTACAGCTGGGCCGTTAGCCGCTACAGCTGGTCCGTTAGCCGCTACAGCTGGGCCGTTAGCCGCTACAGCTGGGCCGTTAGCCGCTACTGCTGGGCCGTTAGCCGCTACAGCTGGGCCGTTAGCCGCTACTGCTGGGCCGTTAGCCGCTACTGCTGGGCCGTTAGCCGCTACAGCTGGGCCGTTAGCCGCTACTGCTGGGCCGTTAGCCGCTACAGCTGGTCCGTTAGCCGCTACAGCTGGGCCGTTAGCCGCTACAGCTGGTCCGTTAGCCGCTACAGCTGGTCCGTTAGCCGCTACAGCTGGGCCGTTAGCCGCTACTGCTGGGCCGTTAGCCGCTACTGCTGGGCCGTTAGCCGCTACTGCTGGGCCGTTAGCCGCTACTGCTGGGCCGTTAGCCGCTACTGCTGGGCCGTTTAGCCGCTACTGCTTGAACCCGGCTGGCCGTCATCTCGGGCCTCTGCTGCCCGGTTCTGATCGTTCCAGCTGGTTCTTTCTCTGAGCAGAACCCCAGGTGCCGAACCGAGCCCCGCTGGCCGCTGTGGGTCCGGACCTCCGTCTGGTTCTCCCTCTGAGCGCCAGCCTGTTGCTCAACGGCAGTGGCAGCACCGACGACCGCGGCATTAGCGGCTACAACTGGGAGGTGGTGAGGTGAGCAGACCTGTGGACCGGAACCAGAACAGGGGGCTCGGTACCTGACGGACTCTCTGCCTCCTGTGTTCACAGCGGTCCTCCCGGTTTGCGGCTGCAGGATGCCGACCGGGCGGTTGCCATGGCGACGGGCCTAAGGGCGGGGCGCTACGCGTTCAAGCTGACGGTGTCGGACCAGCAGGGGGCGACAGACAGCGCCCTGCTGTCGGTGCGGGTCCAGGAAGGTGAGTTCTGCTGTAGGCTCGGGTTCTGGTTCTGAATGGTACCGTCCGTCTCCTTCCCTCTGCAGCCCGCAGTCTTCCTCCGGTGGCGCACGCCAGCGGCAGCCATGTTCTGGTTCTGCCCAACAGCTCTGTGGTTCTGGAGGGGTCGGTTACTGATGGAGACCAGACAGAGGTCCGGTACCGGTGGACCAGGGACAGCCAGAGTCCGGCAGCCGGGGTACCGCCCGCTCGAAACGGTTTAGGCCAAAATGGGCCGGCTCAGGTGACCTCCCGGTTCTGTGCAGGAGGTTCTGTTTGGCTCGGAGACCCAGCGGGTTCTGTACCTGTCGGACCTGGTGGAGGGAACCTACCTGTTCCAGCTGATGGTGACGGACTCTCAGGGCCGGGTCAGCACCGCCACCGCCACCGTGGAGGTCCGGCCAGGTAGGCCGCCGCTCAGCGCAGGTTCTGCTGAGGTTCTGAGGGTAAATGGACCTCCGGGTTGGTTTGTGCAGAACCAGGCGGCAGCCAGCAGGTGGAGCTGGAGATGCTGGTGGCGGTGTCTCAGGTGAGCGTGGCTCAGAGGGACACACTGGTCCGGCAGCTGGCGGCACTGATCCACGTCCTGGACCGAGACATCCGGGTCCGGGCGCTGCGGGGACGGACCCAACTCAGGTATCAGAACCCTGACCGGGTCGGGCCCAAACAGATGCCGCTCACTGCACCTGCTGGCTGCTACTCAGGTCAGAACTCTGCTCTGCTGTTCTGTTTCAGCACGGTTCTGCAGTTCTGGGTCCAGGGCCCGATCGGACCCGTCCCGGCCTCCAGCCTGGTGGTTCTGCTCAGGAAGCAGCTGCTCCGAGACAAGAGCGACTTCCTGCTGTTCAAGGTGCTGAGAGTTGACACTGTGGGTAAGTTCTGGTCCTGACCGGTCCGGGTTCATGTTTTAGAGAGGGACCATCCAGAACCATCCAGAACCGCCAGGGAACATGTGTCTGCTGAGGATGTTTCGATGGCTCCCCTGGCTGGGTCATTCTGATTGGCTCATTGCTTGGCTTCCTGTTTGTCTGTGGTCAGCCTGTCCCAGGCTGCCACCTAGTGGAGGGGCCAGAGGTCAGCTGTGCCATCACTGGTGACCCAACTTTATCAGAGTCACCAGATAAAGTTCATCACGAAGATGAGTAGACCAATGGAACCAGTGTTCCCTCGCCCGGACCCACAGCCCACTTCCTGGTGTGTTGGCTTTAACCCACAACCTGAACAGGAGACTTGGGTACATGAGGGGACTAAAGGGGTCAGGCGCAGTGTGGGATGGGTGGTGCTGGAGGCAGGGACTGAGGCGGTCTGATCCCCGGCTATAGAACCTGGTGGTGAAGATGAAATAGTCGGACTCACCTCAGAGCACCACTCACTGTTTTCTTGAGAAGCTTTGGACGCTTTCATTCTGGAGTTGGAGTCTGGAGAACTCCTGAAGCGTGGAGTATTCAGGGTCCTGGAGAGGAGGTCTGTTGGGTCGTCAAACCTCAGATTCAGGAAGAGCATTGTGGTTCTGGTTCTGGAACACTGGACCAGCTCTACACCCTCAGCTGGGTCCATAAAACACATGTAGACCACACAAACGATCTGCATGTGTTTTGTGGACTTGGAGAAGGTGTAACCCTAACCCGTGTCCCTCAGGGAGACCTGTTGGGGAGCGCTAAGGGGTCCGGGTACGTTTGACACGGCCTGTTGGGTCCCTTTATCAGTCTGGTCCTCATTGCTGCCAGTGAGTCGGGCTCCGCCAGGGCTGCCATCTGTCACCGATTCTGTTCGTTATTTTCATGGACAGAATCTCTGGAACAGCCAAGCTGTTGAGAGGATCCGGTTTGGTGGCCGTTGGATCCATCTCTGCGTTTTGCGGATAATGTGGTCCTGTTGGCTTCATCGGGTCGTGACCTGCAGCTCTCGCTGGAACGGTTCGCAGCCGAGTGCGAAGCGGCCGGGACGAGGATCAGTGGCTCCGAATCCAAGGCCGCCGCTCCTCCACCCGGAGAGGAGCCAGCTGAGGCTCAGGCTCCTGGTCGGGATGGAGGCTCCCTGTGAGGAGTTCAGGTCCCACAGGGGACAGGAAGACTGCGACCTGCTGGAGGGACGATGGTCCCGGCTTGCCTGGGAACATTGGGTTCTCCCAGAGACTCCTGCTTACGCTACTGACCTTGCGACCCGACCCCAGATAAGAAGGAAATGGATTTACTCTGGGTTTATGTTCTGGTGTCGTTTGTTTGGTTAGCGTGCGAGCTGAGCTGTTCAGGGCGGGGCCAGTGTGATCCAGTCACCAAGCAGTGTTCCTGTGACCCGTTCTGGACGGAGAACCTGATCCGGCTCTACCTCGGGGACGGAGAGAGTAACTGTGGTAACGTTTTAATCCTCATTCCTGAGCCAAAGGTTCCCTGTGGTCGACCTTTGACCTGGCTCTGCTCGTCCCCTCAGAGTGGAGGGTTCTGTTCGTGATCCTGAGCAGCTTCCTGACGATGGTCCTCATCCTGTCGCTCAGCTGGACCTTCGTCTGCTGCAGCCGGAGGTGAGTCTGGACCGCCGGCTCAGGATCAAATCCGGGTCCCATCCAGAATCTGCCGGGTCCGATTCGGTGTTCTGTGTGTCTGCAGGAGGAAGCAGAGGAAGGGCAGGAAGAAGACCAGGTACACCATCCTGGACGACATGGACGAGCAGGAGCGGCTGGAGCTCCGGCCCAGATTCAGTGAGTTTGTCCACCGGCCCTGCTGGTTCTGGACCGGACCGGGCCGGACCGCCCTTCAGGAAACCCCAGAGCGATAGGGATTCACTCCTTCCCGGATTTCTGATTGAAATTTTACTGGAATTAGCAGCAAAACTTTTCAATAAAGCAACAAAAGCAGCAAAGAATCTGTAAACATGAAAACCTGACAATGGTCTGATCCGACATCCATTCCAGGGTTAATCCTGGTTTAAACCTGGTTTAATCCCGGTTCAATCCTGGTTTAATCCTGGTTTAATCTGGGGTTAATCCCGGTTCAATCCTGGTTTAAACCTGGTCTAATCCTGGTTTAATCCCGGGTTAATACTGGTTTAATCCTGAGTTAATCCTGGTTTAATCCCGGGTTAATACTGGTTTAATCCCAGTTTAATCTGGGTTAATCCTGGTTTAATCCGGGGTTAATCCTGGTTTAATCCTGAGTTAATCCTAGGTGAATGTCCTTCAAAGCGATTTAGAAAGTGAAAATGGTCCCTCTCTCATCCGGATGTGGAAAATTCTGAAAGCTAATCCCAGCCTTTCTGGGGCGGGGGCTGGTCCGGGTCAGAACCTTTTCCAGTCCAGATGACAGTTCTGTCGGATGGACCGAATGCTCCGCTCAGTAACCCCCCCGTCCTGCGCAGGTCTGAAGCACCGCAGCACGGAGCACAACTCCAGCCTCATGATGTCCGAGTCGGAGTTGGACAGCGACCAGGACTCCGTCTTCAGCCGGCCGGTCCGCAACCGGGTCAGCTGCCAGGCCGCGCGCAACGGGAACGCCTTGGGGTGAAGACCGGAAGCCCGGGGGGACAGTGAGGGTTGGAGGAAGTCTGGACGGCGCTTCCTGGTGGCGGCATGTTCGGTTCAGAGGTTTCATTCGTTCTTGCCAGAGAAACATTCATGAAGCAAAGACTTGGCCTGCAGGGGGCAGCACCACAACATGAGTTCAGGTTCTGTTAATCTGGGCCTGTTGGACTGTTCCTTTAGTGTCGCATCAGAACCAGAACCGGACCCAGCGGGGATTATTTACATCCTGGTGAACCCAAACGTCTCAGCAGAACCAGCTCCATGTCGCTTCATGTCTGGAGATTTAAAGTCAAAGTTTCAGGAGAAGCTGAAGAAATAAAACATAAATTCATCCATCAGTTTATTTCAGATCAAACACAAACCTACAAAAATCTAAACAGCAAAGTTTTCCAGGATAATCCGAGACACTTTGTTACTAACGGAACATCGAGCGTCCAACAGATCTCTGTGTGCAGCAGAACCGACCCAGTTCCAGCCGGAAACCCAGATTCTGGATTCATCAGATTAAAGTCAACATGAAACTCCAACTTCAGTTGTTTTTTATTCCACATTGTCGCCTGAATGCATCAGGAAAAGGGTTCAGGAAGTTTGGGTCCAATCAAACGGCTCCTAGGACAAAGAAAGCGACGTGGAGATCTGAGAGTAGAAGCAATTTGGACCGAACTGAAATATGATCAGTTCAATTTTTCCTTCGTCATTGGACGAAGTTTTTTATGGACTTTTGACAAATTTTCTTTGTTTCATTTTGTCTCGGTAATAGTGATAAAAGTTTGTAGTGACTTTTATCACTATTACTTTTATCACTATGCGTAAACGTGGGCGGAGCTTCGTCCTTCCAAATAATTGAAGGAAAACAAATCACTTTTGGGTCAAAAATCACAAAACCACATTTAACATGATCAGTCTGAGGAAATCAGGTCATTAAACCTAAAGGCGGTAGTACCTTACCTGACCACCAGATGGCAGTGTTCATTACACACAGAACCTTTAATTGGACCAGCTGCAGAGCCTAACCCTGACCCTAAAGTTGAACAATTTAAGGCATAAAAATGTTACTTGTATAGAAAAAATTAACAATAATAAAAAATGTTTTCATGGTGATTTTAGAGTTTCTGTACATTAATTATTAATCCTGGTATTTAGTACATTATTTCTAACATTTTTTATTTGTTTCATATTTACCATATATTTGTTTTTAGCATTTTTATTTTTACCCAGTAAAATGTTGAGATTTTAAAATGTAAAGTCCGTTAGAAGTTTAAATGACTAATTATTAATGATGGCAGCTGGAGGGTTGGGAAGCTTCCTGGGTCATGTTGATCAGCAACTCTTCCTGTCTCCGGAGCCGTACCAGCTCCGGCCCGGTTCAGGGGTTCAGGCCTCCGAAGCACATGTACTTGACCTCCAGGTACTCGTCGATGCCGTACTTGGATCCCTCCCGGCCCAGGCCCGACTGCTTGACCCCGCCGAAAGGGGCCTCGGCGGCGGACAGGAGGCCCTCGTTGACCCCCACCATGCCCACCTCCAGCGCCTCGGCCACTCGCCAAATCTGGCCCACGTCCTGCGAGTAGAAGTATCCTGGAAGCAGAACCGGATCAGAACCAGGAGGGAGGCGTCACAGACCATCGTTGTGGGTTTGATTCTTGTGGATTCAGAGCTGAAGCAACGGCTTTCAGGGTTAGTGGCGGGAGCCTTAAGCTAACACGTAAATCGAGAAGCTAATGTTGCTTTTAGCTCATCTAGAAACCCCTAAATGAATACACTTTCCAAGATCAACCTAAAGCGCTAATTGACTGCAGTCTTAAGTAAACTTCCAGTTGAAGAAAGTTCAGGAAGGTATAGCTTTAGCGTTAGCTTCACCTTAAACACCATGCTGACATGCAGGTGTGGCGTTAGCAGACATAATACATACAGTTAGGGCCAGAAATATTTGGACAGTGACACAGGTTTTGTTATTTTAGCTGTTGACAAAAATATGTTCAGAAATACAATTTATATATAATATGGGCTGAAAGTGCACACTCCCAGCTGCAATATGAGAGTTTCCACATCCCAATCGGAGAAAGGGTTTAGGAATCATAGCTCTGTAATGCAGAGCCTCCTCTTTACCAAAAGTAATTGGACAATGGACTCCAAAGGCTGCAAGTAACTCAAAAGGCCTTTCCCTCGTTAACCTGTAATCAAGTAAGTAGTTAAAAGGTCTGGGGTTGTTTCCAGGTGTGTGGTTTTGCATTTGGAAGCTGTTGCTGTGACCAGACAACATGCGGTCAAAGGAGCTCTCAATTGAGGTGAAGCAGAACATCCTGAGGCTGAAAAAAAGGAAAAAATCCATCAGAGAGATAGCAGACATGCTTGGAGTAGCAAAATCAACAGTCTGGTACATTCTGAGGAAAAAGGAATTGACTGGTGAGCTTGGGAACTCAAAAAGGCCTGGGCGTCCACGGAAGACAACGGTGGTGGATGATCGCCGCATACTTTCTTTGGTGAAGAAGAACCAGTTCACAACATCAACTGAGGTCCAGAACACTCTCAGAGAAGTAGGTGTCTCTGTCTCTAAGTCAACAGTAAAGAGAAGACTCCATGAAAGCAAATACAAAGGGTTCACATGTAGATGCAAACCATTCATCAATTCCAAAAGTAGACAGGCCAGAGTTAAATTTGCCCAAAAACACCTCAAGAAGCCAGCCCAGTTCTGGAAAAGTATTCTATGGACAGATGAGACAAAGATCAACCTGTACCAGAATGATGGGAAGAAAAAAGTTTGGAGAAGAAAGGGAACGGCACATGATCCAAGGCACACAACATCCTCTGTAAAACATGGTGGAGGCAACGTGATGGCATGGGCATGCATGGCTTTCAATGGCACTGGGTCACTTGTGTTTATTGATGACATAACAGCAGACAAGAGTAGCCGGATGAATTCTGAAGTGTACCGGGATGTACTGTCAGCCCAGATTCAGCCAAATGCTGCAAAGTTGATCGGACGGCGCTTCACAGTACAGATGGATAATGACCCCAAGCATACAGCCAAAGCTACCCAGGAGTTCATGAGAGCAAAAAGGTGGAATATTCTGCAATGGCCAAGTCAATCACCAGATCTTAACCCAATTGAGCATGCATTTCACTTGCTCAAATCCAGACTTCAGACGGAAAGACCCACTAACAAGCAAGACCTGAAGGCTGCGGCTGTAAAGGCCTGGCAAAGCATTAAGAAGGAGGAAACCCAGCGTTTGGTGATGTCCATGGGTTCCAGACTTAAGGCAGTGATTGCCTCCAAAGGATTCGCAACAAAATATTGAGAACAAACTTTTTTGTTTGGGTTATGTTTATATGTCCAATTACTTTTGAGCTCCTAAAATGTGGAGTGTTTGTAAACAAATGTGTACAATTCCTACATTTTCTATCACATATTTTTGTTCAACCCTTTAAATTAAACGTTACAATCTGCACTTGAATTCTGTTGTAGAGGTTTCATTTCAAATCCAATGTGGTGGCATGCAGAGCCCAACTCACAAATATTGTGTTACTGTCCAAATATTTCTGACCCTAACTGTATAACCAGCTAGCACCGCTAACTTTGGAGCTAGCGGTGCTAGCTGGTACCATCTCAGCTCAGTAGGTTAAAGTACTGGTTTCAGGTTTCTACCGGTCCCAGTAGAAACCTGAACTGGTTTCTACTGGGACCGGATCTGTCGGTGCTCAGGTTCTGCAGAGCCTGAGGGGAACCGGATCTTCTCACCTGCCAGCCCGACGTTGGAAGCATTGGCCACGGCCAGAGCTTCTTCTTCTGTCTCGAACCTGGAAAAGAGGAACACAGCTGCTGAGTGGTTCGGACCCGGACGGCCCGCCCGCAGAGCAGAACCCGCCGCTCCCACCTGATGACTGGAACCAGCGGTCCGAACGTCTCCTCCTGCGTACACAGCATGTCGGTGGTGACGCCCGCCAGCAGGGTCGGCTCCATGAACGACCCATCCAAACGCTTCCCGCCTCGCAGAACCTGGGCGCCACGAGACACGGCGTCCGCTATCTGATGGGCCACCTGGGGCAGAGACACCGTCCCATCAGAACTCCATTAGAACCTCATCAGAAACCCATCTATGTGTAACATAGTTAATATTGTACAGAATTCCACTTGTCTTTACTTCCAAGTTTGGGTTCAGATGTAATGGGTGAAACAGCACCCCCTCCTGGTGGTTGGCAACGTTGACTATAGTGAACATAGATATCTCGTTGCCAGTTCATGAGAGATGGGCGCGAGGTAGGTTCGCTGGGAACATTGTAACGGTCCTGGGGAATGTTCTGTTAGTTTGTTGCTAACTCGTAAGGTGCTGTACTGCCGGTGATGAACCTGGTTCCTGATTATTTTATATTCTGTTTCATGCAGATAAACTACATCTAGTAGTACATCAACACGTCCCTGGACCAGGCTGTCGTCCCACGGTGCTTCAAGTCTGCCACTGTCGTTCCGGTCCCGAAGTCAACCACCATCACATGCCTTAACGACTTCAGCCCCGTCGCACTGACATCCACCATCATGAAGTGCTTCGAAAGACTTGTTAAGGACCACATCATCTCCACGCTCCCCCCATCACACGACCCTTTCCAGTTTGCATACCAGTCCAAGCGCAGTGCTGAGGATGCAGTCTCCACTGCTCTCCACCTGAGCCTGGAGCATCTGGAGGAGAAGAACACCCAGCTCAGCGTTCAACACCATCATCCCCCAAGACCTGGTGGGCAAACTGGGCCCCTTAGGAATTAACACCCCCCTGCAACTGGCTGCTGGACTTCCTCACTGACAGAACCCAGGCTGTCAGAATGAAGAACAACACCTCCGATGTCATCACCCTGAACACCGGCACCCCTCAGGGCTGTGTCCTGAGCCCCCTGCTGTTCACCCTGATGACCCACGACTGCCGTCCACACTTCAGATCCAACCACATCCTGAAGTACGCGGACGACACCACAGTGGTGGGCCTCATCCGGGACAACAACGAGACGACCTATAGGGAGGAGGTGCGGCATCTGGTGGACCGGTGCAGAGGAAACAACCTGATCCTGAATGTCAACAAGACCAAGGAGATCATCGTAGACTTCAGGAAATCCAGACACACCCACACACCACTCCTCATCAACGACTCAGCAGTGGAGGTCGTCAGCAGCACCAAGTTCCTGGGGGTGCACATCAATGAGAACCTCAGCTGGTCTCCCCACATCTCCTCACTGGTGAAGAAGGGCCAGCAGCGCATGCACTTCCTGCGTGGGATGAAGAGAGCATCCCTCCCGCCCCCCATCCTTCAGACCTTCTACAGAGGGACCACCGAGAGCCAACTGACCAGCTACATCTCCATCTGGTCTGGGAGCTGCAGGGCCTCTGACTGGAAGTCTCTACAGAGGGTGGTGAGGACAGGGGAGAAGATCACGGGGGCTCTGCTCCCCTGCATCAAGGACATCGCAGAGAGGCGCTGCCTATCTCGCGCTCACCAGATCCTCTCCGACCCCACCCACCCCAACCATGGACTGTTTTCCCCCTGGCGTCTGGAAGAAGGTTCTGCAGCATCTTGTGCAGAACAACCAGACTACTGAACAGTTTCTTCCCCCGGGCCATCAGACTGCTTAACGCCACATAACACTAACACACACACACACACACACACACTAACACACACACACACACACACACACACACACACACACACACACACTCACAAACCAAATCCCCCCCCATGGACATGGTCAATACATGCACTTTAGTTTAGTTTTGTTCACAACACTGAACCTGTGGATTCTATGGCACTTGTATTTATTTATTTATTTATTGTGTAGTTTAAGGTTTTAGCTCTGCTACTCTGGTAGCCAAGTAACAACATTTCGTTGTCAAGATTCACCTTGAGTTTTTTTTGTACAATGACAATAAAGGAAGTCTAAGTCTAGTATCATCCTGTCTCCTGGTCCATATTCACACAACGCAGAGTACTGACAAAAAGCCATAATAATTAAAAAGGTTACACTAGCCCCAACAGAACCAGAACCGTCTGGAACCACTGGACCAGGCCTGGGCAGGAAATCAATAATATAATATGAACATGTGATCGATATCAGTCACTGAAGTCTGATCAGTCTGATCATATCCCCCAGCAGATATGAGACGAACCTAATATCCTGATATATTTTGGCTGTATCACGATCCGCGATATATATATATATATATATATATATATATATATATATATATATATATATATATATATATATATATATATATATATATATATATATATAAAAGCTGGACTCAAGGACAGCACAGAGGCCCTCATCCTGGCAGCCCAGGAACAGGCCCTAAACACCAGAGCAATAGAGGCCCAGATCTACCACACCAGACAAGACCCAAGGTGTAGGTTGTGCAAGGAGGCCCCTGAGACAGTCCAGCACATCACAGCAGGGTGCAAGATACTGGCAGGGAAAGCGTACATGGAGCGACATAACCAAGTAGCAGGCATAGTGTACAGAAACATCTGTGCAGAATATGGACTGGAAACCCCGAGATCAAAGTGGGAAACACCCCCAAAGGTGGTGGAGAACACCAGAGCTAAGATCCTGTGGGACTTCCAGATCCAGACAGACAAAATGGTAATGGCGAACCAACCAGACATTGTCGTAGTGGATAAACATCAGAGGAAAGCCGTTGTGGTAGATGTAGCAATACCAAGTGATTGCAACATCAGGAAAAAGGAGCACGAGAAACTGGAGAAATACCAGGGCCTCAGGGAAGAACTGGAGAGGGCCTGGAAGGTGAAGACCACAGTGGTGCCTGTGGTCATCGGGGCCCTCGGGGCAGTAACCCCCAAACTGGAGCAGTGGCTACAACAGATCCCAGGAACAACATCAGACATCTCAGTCCAGAAATGTGCAGTCCTTGGCACAGCCAAGATACTGCAGGACCCTCAAGCTCCCAGGCCTCTGGTAGAGGACCCGAGGATATATATATCTATATCTATATATATAGATCTATATATTTAGATATAGATCTATATAACCTCTGGTAGAGGACCCGAGCTCAGAGGATAAGAACCACCCGCGGTGGGTGAGAAGGGAATTATTATTTATTATATATCGCAATATTCCTAAATGAGCTGCAAAGTTATTTTAAACTATAGATCCCTTCCAGCATGATGTCACTTACCCACTTCACGTCCCCATTTCCCTGCCAGGCTTTAATGTCGGCTCATAACGGATTCAGCGTTTCACTGTGAACCGTCTGCACTACGACTAGATTACAAGAAAAGACTTTTAACTAAGAAAAATTATCGAGGCAAAGGGAACTAAATATGTTGTGGAATAAAGTGTGTTTTGATTCGTCTTAAAAATAGAACTGGTGACCTACACACACTGATCATCATCAGTAGAGCAGGTGTTTAAATCAGCTAATCAACAGCAGCGGTGGCTAACAGCAGCAGTGGCTAACAGCTATGGTGGCTAATAGCAGCAGTGGCTAATAGCAGCAGTGGCTAATAGCAGCGGTGGCTAACAGCAGCAGTGGCTAATAGCAGCAGTGGCTAATAGCAGCGGGGCTAATAGCAGCAGTGGCTAATAGCAGCAGTGGCTAATAGCAGCGGTGGCTAACAGCAGCAGTGGCTAATAGCAGCAGTGGCTAATAGCAGCGGTGGCTAATAGCAGCAGTGGCTAATAGCAGCGGTGGCTAACAGCAGCAGTGGCTAATAGCAGCGGTGGCTAATAGCAGCGGTGGCTAACAGCAGCAGTGGCTAACAGCAGCAGTGGCTAACAGCAGCGGTGGCTAACAGCAGCAGTGGCTAACAGCAGCAGTGGCTAATATCAGCGGTGGCTAATAGCAGCGGTGGCTAATAGCAGCAGTGGCTAATAGCAGCGGTGGCTAATATCAGCGGTGGCTAATAGCAGCGGTGGCTAATAGCAGCAGTGGCTAATAGCAGCGGTGGCTAATAGCAGCGGTGGCTAATCGCAAAATGCACATTAAACCCAAAATCCCAAACCTGTACCTGAAGGTTCTGCTCTGTGTGGAGAAATGTTTGAGTGTTTTTGGTCCTGAATCCTGATACATAAAGTTGTGCTGTTGTCAGTTGCTATGGCAACGAGGAGTATCTTAAAGCTGGCAGAGAGCGAGAAAACTAGAATGAGTAGATTGGAGTTATTTTCCCATCATATCACTGAACGATCGTCGCTCCGTCTCCAGGTAACGGTCCGGTTCTACCGGACATGGACGGTCTGTAAACCAGTTCGTCTGATTCCTCTTCGGTTCCGTCTCATTCGCCTCCAGCTCTCCAGTCGCCATGTTTGTTTAGCCTGATTGGTAGAAAATGTTCCGGTGATGCATTCATGGGGTGTCGGATAAACCATTCGCAGGCAGTTTCTACTTACAGCCAATTTAACCATCGGAAATCGAAAATATTGCGATACATTGCCCAACCCTATTGCAAAGCATTCTGGGAGATGTAGGCAGAGGAAATTCAAGGCTAGCTAAGCTAGCTGGGTAGCCACAACACACACACACTGACTCTGTGGTTGCCTAGCAACCATCTGTTGAAATACAACAGGAAACATCTCCAACAGGATTTGAGATACTTCAAACAAAAAGCTAATCAATAATTATCGATGATTGATCTGAAACCATTAAATTGTGAGCCAGGCCAAAACCAGATCCAGAACCGTCCAGCGTTTTCTGGAAAAGGTTCTGGAAGTGTTCTGGGTCCAACCTTCTCCGCTGCTCTGGCGTTGATGAGCGGTCCCTGCGTGGTGTGCGGTTCCGACCCGTGGCCCAGACGCAGCTCGGCGTCCATGGCGCGGCCCAGCCCGTCCAGGAAGCGCTCGTAGATCCCGCTCTGGACCAGGAAGCGGTTGGAGCACACGCAGGTCTGCGGGCGGTCAGAGGCGGTCAGCTGGACGCTGCGTCACACCAGCACAGCCCCGCCCTCCCGCCTCACCTGTCCGGAGTTCCTGAAACTTGGAGGCCATGGCTCCGCCCACCGCGCGCTCCACGTCAGCGCTGTCAAACACGATGAAGGGGGCGTGGCCCCCCAGCTCCATGGAAACCCGCTTCACCGAGTCGGCGGCCATTTTCAGCAACACCTGGAGGAGAGAGAGGAACGACTGAGAACCTCAGCCGGTCCGGTCCGGTCCGCTTCAGACTCACCTTCCCGGTTGCCGTGGATCCAGTGAAGGAGATCTTGGCCACCAGCGGGTCAGAGCACAGAACTCGGCCCACGGCGGCCATCTTGTCTCTGGAGCAGGGAACCACGTTGACCACGCCCGGCGGGACGCCTGCCTGCTGCGCCAGCTGCAGGAGACAGGAGACTGGATGAACACCAGAACCGGACCGGACCGGACCGGAGCCGGAGGCTGACCTCGGCCAGAGCCAGAGCGGACAGCGGCGTGTCTTCTGCCGGCTTCACCACCACGGTGCAGCCGGCGGCCAGGGCGGCGCCGACCTTCCTGGTGATCATGGCGCTGGGGAAGTTCCACTGAGGAGGAGGACCAGGACCTTCATCACAAACATTTCAGGCTTGTGCGGCGCTGACTTCCTGTGTGGTGCCTGTGCTCACCGGCGTGATGATGGTGGCGACCCCTACTGGCTGCTTGAGAATCAGCAGCCTGCGGTCGGCCGCCGGAGACGGAACGATGTCGCCGTAAACTCTGCGAGCTTCTTCTGAGAACCACTGCAGGAAGGAGGCCGAGTACGAAACCTCGCCCAGGGCCTCCGGGAGAGGCTTACCCTGAAACACACACACACACTCTGAGAAACACACACTCTGAGAAACACACACTCTGAGAATCACACACTCTGAGAATCACACACTCTGAGAATCACACACTCTGAGAATCACACACTCTGAGAATCACACACTCTGAGAATCACACACTCTGAGAATCACACACTCTGAGAATCACACACTCTGAGAATCACACACTCTGAGAATCACACACTCTGAGAATCACACACTCTCTCTCTCTTTGGGAACCAAATTTAATTATTTCTCTGCATATTTATTTATTTCTGTTGATGGTAAAAATAAAAAACTTCAGTAAAATTTTCACTGATCAAGAAATGATGAATAAAAATTCAATAATTCTAAAATCAAAGCAAATAATCTGTTGATCAGCTCGTGGTTTTCTGGACGCTGTGCAGCATCATGAACCTGCAGCATCATGAACCTGCAGCATCATGAACCTGCAGCATCATGAACCTGCAGCAACACGAACCTGCAGCATCATGAACCTGAGGCAACACGAACCTGCAGCATCATGAACCTGTAGCAACACGAACCTGCAGCATCATGAACCTGCAGCAACACGAACCTGCAGCATCATGAACCTGCAGCAACACAAACCTGCAGCATCATGAACCTGCAGCATCATGAACCTGCAGCAACACGAACCTGCAGCATCACGAACCTGCAGCAACACGAACCTGCAGCATCATGAACCTGAGGCAACACGAACCTGCAGCATCATGAACCTGCAGCAACACAAACCTGCAGCATTATGAACCTGCAGCAACACGAACCTGCAGCATAATGAACCTGCAGCATCATGAACCTGCAGCAACACGAACCTGCAGCATCATGAACCTGCAGCATCATGAACCTGCAGCAACACGAACCTGCAGCATCATGAACCTGAGGCAACACGAACCTGCAGCATCATGAACCTGCAGCAACACAAACCTGCAGCATTATGAACCTGCAGCAACGAACCTGCAGCATCATGAACCTGCAGCAAACACGAACCTGCAGCATCACGAACCTGCAGCAACACGAACCTGCAGCAACACGAACCTGCAGCATCACGAACCTGCAGCATCTTTCACTGGATGCAGCTGATGCTCAGATTTACTCACAGACTCGAAGGTGAGGATCCGGGCCAGGTGACCCTGATGCAGCTGCAGCAGGTCGGACCATTTCCTGAGCAGGACGCTCCTCTCCTGCAAGGAGAAACACACACACACACACACACACACACACACACACACACTTAAGGAATCAATTTATTGTTTGGCTTCAAACTGACATTTCCATTCATGTTTCTCCTCATGTGCCGAAGTCTGGACTCAAATGCACCATGAAAACCAGCTTTTGGTCCATGCAGAGAGAGCCGAACCGCAAAGGGACCAGTACGGAACTGACCGGGCCAGCGCGGGGTTCCGACTCGTTATTCGGTAAATCTGCTGCATTTATCTTAAAAACGTGATTTTTTAAACGGAGTCCCGCCGAGCAGCCGCCTACCTTGGCGGTGGTGCGCTTCCAGGACTGAAACGCCTCGTAGGCGGCCCCACCGCTTGCTGGGCCTCTGCGGGCCCGCAGTCCGACACCTGGGTCAGCTCCTGTCCGGTGGCCGGGTCCAGAACCGGGAACACCGAGGCTGCAGAGACCCAGCGGCCGCCCAGGTAGCCCTGCGTCCGGAGCAGCGCGGCGGGGACGTCCAGGCCGTAGCGCCTGCAGGAGGCCTGGAGGACGGGGGACACCTGCCGGAGGAGCCGGCGGCTCCTCAGCGCTCTGACGACTGACATGGCAGGGAGGAGGCGACCGGGACAGGAGCTCCGGGAGAAGAGAGCAGCAGCTGGACGGAGAGCGCCGAGCTTCCGACTTCCGGTCTCAGTAAAAAACTACAAATCCCAAGAATGCTGGAATCCTTTGCCAAAGAAACACAAGTTTCCCTCCTAACTACTGGAGGATCAGGTCTTTCAAAGACTTCAGTGTTAAATATGACCTGCAAATAGATTATATGTATTTTTAAAACTTGCTAGAGCTATTCCCACAAATATTTTATATACAGCTAAATGTCTTTGTGAGAACCCTGATTGCAGAACCCCTGACCTCTGACTCCTGACCTACCTGGACTTCTGATTAATGGGCACAGTATCACAGATAATGAACTAAAAACTCAAAAATTAGAAAAACAAAGTGCTTTACTAGTACTTTGTTTCCTTTTGTATCAAATCCAAATTTTATTTCTCATTTCTTCTCAAAGATTGAAAAGGAAATAATGTGAACAAATGATTAAATCTTCCCGTTCCTCCAAAAGCCGAGGAAGTCCACTTCAAAACTTTCCAGGTGTTTAACCTTGAAGGAATTCCTCAGACTTGGATTATAAGGCTTGTTTATTTGTGACGTGATGTTGAGTCGACTGAAGATGTTTTCTATGAATGTGGGTTTTAAAGCTTTGTGAGATGATGTGCATTACTGGCTTTCCTATTATTCCAAACTTACCAGAATTTTCTAAGAAAGACATTATTACTCTGAGAAAAGAAAAACAATTGAAAGGTTACTAATTGTAATAATTAGTTTTATTCATAAAGTCGTTTTCTTAAAGCCAAACCATCTTTCTCCACTTTTTACAAGGAACTCTGTCGCTTCTTCTCATCACTAAAATTTATGGACAAACAACCAGATGCAGAAGTGAATAATATGATAAACAATCTGAAAGTGCTGGAAACCCTGATGGTTTGTTGTTTTGTTTTTTCTTTCTTTTATTCTCTCGGTGGATACAGAAGCAGCCTGGATCGGCTTCTTCAAGTTTTCAGGTTTGATGCCGAGATCATGTCTGTTGTATTTGATGGTAATTAAAAACAACAACAGTTCACCAGGCTGCAGCTAACAGGAAGGCCAGGAAACCTGCAGCTAACAGGAAGGCCGACGGACCGCTGGCAGCCTCAGACCTTATATGGAAATGGGACCGTTGCACTCCGAAGTGAAGGGGGCGCTGCTTCCTATCTTATTCATGTCTCCTGTTTTAATTTTCTCTTGAAATCTGTGATATATTTTCACCTTTAGGAAGGATTTTCACTCTCAGCATGAATTTGATCTTCTCTCTATTATTTACTTAGTGCAGCTCACAGTTTAAACAGATTCTGTAGCTTCCTGTGTTCTTCTAAATCTGCTCCTCAGTCGCATCTTTTGGGGCTTGATGCTGCCAGCGGTCTGTCGCCCTTCCTGTTAGCTGCAGAGGTGAACTTGATTGAACCTGTTAAGAATTAAAAAGAGGAATAACTTGATTAGCTCGTTAATTAATTATTTGTCCCGAATTCCTGTGTCTGTGTAAGTGTGCAGAGAGAAAAGAGCAATCATAGGACGTCAGACTTCAGATATTCAGAGTTTTATCCAGAGAAAATCAATCCAAGAAGAATGTTACAATAAGCATCTCACCTAGAACATCAAAAGTCCAAGACATGACAAAACAGAGACAAAGAACTGAGTAAAAAAAGACAAACAGAAGATGCATCCTCCGGGAAACTCTCACTCAGCACAAAGAGATTCCAACTTCTGCTGTGAAACAAATCATTTATAGACTGCGTATTCTCCTCATTTGAATATATGCATTAGGAGGTGTGTTTTCCTTTGTGTGGGCTGTCTTAATGTTAATTTTATTACCTCCTGCTAAAGAGCCCAAAAGCAGATATACGGCAAACCCTTCTCGTATCAGCCGCTGTCCAGTTTGATATATGATTGCAGCTGCAGCGCTATCTGTGCCTCAAAATGTTTCCACAAGAAAGTAGTTTGTATTTTTAACCAAGCTTGCACAAAATGTAATGCTAAATAATGACTATAAGTTGGATCTAATAAGTAACTAATTAAAAACATGCTTAAAGAAATATAGTTAATTCTAATATAGATAAAATTATTTATAAAAAGTTTAAGATCCTAGTGAACTTTTGAACCATGCTCAGGAATTTGTTAACTGCCTGGCAGACAGACTCTCTGTCTAAAGAGATTCTAGGCTGTTTTCTGTAGAATCCTCTGCGTTCAGAGAGTCACCAGCTGTCCCAGTTTGGATCTGTATCTAAGTTTGTCTTAACCTAAAAGTTAACTTATGTACAATTGTGCTACTTTAAAATTCTTATTCCAACAAACCCGAAGATGATTTCATCCAGATGGTGGCGCTAGTGAGCTGCGTTAGCTTGCAGTGACGTCACATTGCAACAGAGATAAACTTGTCCATCCCTTGACTTCAGTAGTTGAAACCTGGGTACCCAAAGGGTGGCTCTCGGGCCATTGGTGGCCCGTGGAATGAATTCTGAGGCCCTGACTTCAGAATGGAGCAAACTGAAAAAGATAAACAGTTGATGTATGTTTTTAAGATGACATACTCCTAAACGGAAAGTGTTCAGTCACACAACAATATGTATTTTCTATAAGTCATATGAATTTTGATATAATTGAGTTCGGGTCACAAACGTTCAGCAATGTTTCAGTCAACAGACTGGAGCTTCAATTACAGACAGGAAGGATTTAATTGAAGTAGGAAATGTTCTTATTTCTGCTGTTTCCTAAATCAACAATATTAGACCCAATAAGTTATGAACCTGATCGCCTTGGGAGCTTCAATGAATTGTTGTTTTTTTCGTTTCATGAAAATGTTGTTTGTTTTAAACACAATAATCAAAGATTTGAAATTTTTAGTATTTTTAATTTGAATTGGAGCATGAAGGGGAACTTGACCAACTCCTGGAAATCAGCTCACTACCGCCCCCACCTGAACGGGATGGTCACGGTTCTATAGCAACATTCTAACGTTACAGAACTGATTCTGTTCCGTGACACCGAACCACCGGACCCGCCCGGACAGAACCGTCCGGTTCCGGTTTTCATTTCTCTTAGGTTTCGTTTCCACAGCAGTGAAAGTTTTCAGACCCTGTTGGATTGCAGCTCCTCCAGACCAACACAAAGTTCTGCAGAACAGAAACCTTCTGGATTGATTTATGAATATCAATCTGAAAATAGGGTCATTTCTAATTCCTGTCATTTGAATCACCATGAAGCTGCTGTTCATGTCTCTGATATGAAAGACACCAGCAGCAGCAGTTGGACCCGTCCGGGCCGAACCTCGTTCTGATGTCAGGAAAGTGAAACTGAAGGAATGAAAGGCCGATCGGCCTGCGAGCTGCTCAGACCGGAGATGGGCGTCCAGGGCCTGGCCTCCTTCCTGGAGCAACACCCGAACATTTACCGGGAGGTTCGGTTCGGCCGGAGCCGCCTGCTGGTGGACGGCTGCAGCCTGTACCACCTGCTGCACTACAGCTCAGGTGAGACTCACCTGTCTGCTTCTGGGCCAGAAGCAGTTAGTTCAAATCATCTTTACAAGACAGCAGCTGGATTAATTTTAATCTGATTATTGGATTAAAAGTCAGATTAAAGTTTCTGCAAGTCGATGTTCTGTCCTTTTTTTAGTGAAAAAGTTTTTGTTGCGCTTCTCTGTGAGTCTGGGAGAAAGAAGAGACACTTTATGGTGTGTGTGTGTGTATGGTGTGTGTGTGTGTGTATGGTGTGTGTGTGTGTATGGTGTGTGTGTGTGTATGGTGTGTGTGTGTGTATGGTGTGTGTGTGTGTATGGTGTGTGTGTGTGTATGGTGTGTGTGTGTGTATGGTGTGTTGTGTGTATGGTGTGTGTGTGTGTATGGTGTATGTGTGTGTATGGTGTGTGTGTGTATGGTGTGTGTGTATGGTGTGTGTGTATGGTGTGTGTGTGTGTATGGTGTGTGTGTATGGTGTGTGTGTGTGTGTGTGTATGGTGTGTGTGTATGGTGTGTGTGTGTGTATGGTGTGTGTGTATGGTGTGTGTGTGTGTGTGTTTGCGTGTGTGTGTATGGTGTGTGTGTATGGTGTGTGTGTATGTGTGTGTGTGTGTATGGTGTGTGTATGGTGTGTGTGTATGGTGTGTGTGTGTATGGTGTGTGTGTGTTTGCGTGTGTGTGTATGGTGTGTGTGTGTGTGTGTGTGTATGGTGTGTGTGTATGGTGTGTGTGTGTGTGTGTGTGTGTGTGTGTGTGGTGTGTGTGTGTGTGTTTGTGTGTGTGTGTGGTGTGTGTGTGTGTGTGTGTGTATGTGTGTGTGTGTATGGTGTGTGTGTATGGTGTGTGTGTGTGTGTATGGTGTGTGTGTGTGTATGGTGTGTGTGTATGGTGTGTGTGTGTGTGTATGGTGTGTGTGTGTATGGTGTGTGTGTGTGTATGGTGTGTGTGTATGGTGTGTGTGTGTGTGTATGGGTGTGTGTGTGTGTGTTTGCGTGTGTGTGTATGGTGTGTGTGTGTGTGTATGGTGTGTGTGTGTGTGGTGTGTGTGTGTTTGCGTGTGTGTGTATGGTGTGTGTGTGTGTATGGTGTGTGTGTGTGTGTGCATGGTGTGTGTGTGTGTGTATGGTGTGTGTATGGTGTGTGTGTATGGTGTGTGTGTGTGTGGTGTGTGTGTGTGTGTGTGTATGGTGTGTGTGTGTGTGTGTTTGCGTGTGTGTGTATGGTGTGTGTGTATGGTGTGTGTGTATGTGTGTGTGTATGGTGTGTGTGTATGGGTGTGTGTGTGTATGGTGTGTGTGTATGGTGTGTGTGTGTGTGTGTTTGCGTGTGTGTGTGTGGTGTGTGTGTGTGTGTGTGTGTATGGTGTGTGTGTATGGTGTGTGTGTGTGTGTATGGTGTGTGTGTGTGTGGTGTGTGTGTGTGTGTGTTTGCGTGTGTGTGTGTGTGTGTGTGTGTGTATGGTGTGTGTGTGTATGGTGTGTGTGTATGGTGTGTGTGTGTGTATGGTGTGTGTGTGGTATGGTGTGTGTGTGTATGGTGTGTGTGTGTGTGTATGGTGTGTGTGTGTATGGGTGT